AAAATACAAATTTTCCTGTACGTCATCTAAGAAACAGGAGAATTCAGCAGAGTTCATTAGAAAATACAATTTCATGCTTAGACATTTTTTAATACATAGGACTTTTTTTGTTTTTTTGCTCCACCAGCAGAACTGTCATTAAAACAAAGCTATAGAAAAATATTTTACTTTTTCATTTGTGGCAAGTTCCTATCTGTGCAGTACTTACAGAAATAGTGAAAGGAGTGAGTTTCTTCTTATTAATAGCCCTTTCATCAATTGTATCTGGTTGTGAAAAGTTGATCATTTTGCTAAGGATGAAAAATCAATTATTCAAACTTTCATTTCTCAGAAAAGATATTATTTTATTATAAACTCTTAACACTTTAAACTAGCTGTAAATATTTCTGACAAGATAAAAAATGACCACCTCATCCTCTAAATCTCCTCTCCCTGTTAAATAATTGCACAGAAACCTCCACATAATATGTAATTATAAGATACTTGAGCAGTTGGGTTTTATACTTAAGTAACAGAGCATGTCTGTGCTGTCAAAAAAAAAGTTCCTGAGAAAATTAAAACTGTAAACTAAAGATAGTTAAATAGTTTCTAAAGAAAATCTTTGTAATATAACCAATATATTTCTGCACTGCATTGCTATAGTATCTTGCATCTACAAGGATCTCAAAGACTAATTCACATCAATACTAATAAGCTAATCCCTTGTTACCATGGTATATGAATAAGTATTATTAATCTACTTTAACTAACTAGAAAGATACAGCAGACTAAACTTAAGGAGCCTACTATATGCTCTCTGTCTTGCCATGGATTTAATTCAGATTTCTGTTCCTCCCATCCTATGATTTAGTAACTACATTTAGTAACTTTTTGAAATATTTGAAATAGCAAAGATTTCTAATTATTTAAGCTAATGAATATATGAACTGTGTAGTTATCTCCTTTACAAGCAGCCTGCACATATCTGACATGTGTAATTATGGATCTGAAGTGGAAACCCACTTCTATCATATATGCACAGAGTCACATAAAAATTTGCTAAAAATAACATTTCTATAGGCAAACAGATTTTCCCCATCCTACACATTGGTTGAAATACTTAAGAGTGGAGTCCTGACGTTAAAGCCTATCAGAAGTTTTCCAATTCATGTCACTGTGATCGGCATTTAACCTTTAAGATTAATTTCTTTTCTTTCTCACAGCCCTGAACTCACCAAAGAAGGATGCCATCTGCAAGGGATTTAAAAAGACTGGCATCTGATGGGTTCATAGGTAGAAGGTGCTTACAGTCTGGGTCATCTTGTAGAGCTTTATTTATCCAATTAACAAAAGCAACTTTTTCTTCCTCTGAAAAGAAAAACAACATTAAAATAATCTATTATAATTTCCAGGAACACATACTACTAAACATCAGACTTGGTACAAAAAGGTTCATCTGCAACAAAACCCCTTAGTTTTCACAGTTATGAAAAGAATCAGACCAGCAGTAAACCACACAAAAAATGGCAAGTACAGGTTGATCTTTCCCCTCTAAACATCTGGTGATTTTCTGAAGGACAACATAAAAATCATAGCGACATAATGGGTCATCATGGCTGACTTCAAATTCAGTTTCTCAGCAATTACAATGAAAAGAGGGAAATCTGTGATCTGAAATACGCAACATCTATACACCGTTGGTTTAAAATGCAGCATTTCATTCTGCCTTCTACTAGGACTTCAGAGACTGGCAGTATTTTTGAGACTATCATCTGAATTACTGTGCTGTATTTAGCTTTGCGGAACTTAAAAAGTTTAGTACCTCAGTTTTAAATTCTCTTTCATATTTAGGGCAGAATTTATTACTGTGTATCTAAGAATGCTTATTGGAACAACAGTCAATCAAGTATCAATATCCAAATTACCAGATAGTACAGGTGGTATTCACCTCACCTCAAGAAGCATACAAGACAAGTACTTACAGCTGACTCATTACACTTCTTTCATTGTCAGTGGGAAGAAACATGAAATTCTAGTGCATACTTCATCTCATCATAAACTAGATGGCTGATGAGGCCAGGTCAGATGAATTGCAGTCTAGTGAGGTCAGTTTCTCTCCACCAAAAAATGAAAGGGAATTTAAACTATTAGCTCTGACGGTGTCCCCGTCAGGCATCCTTTGAGATGGAATATATCCCCTCCTTTGGAGATATACCAAGTGCAGCTGGTGCTATAAGGATAGTATCTAGAGAGAGAGTATCACCACCTTTAACTAACTGAAGTGAACCTTCCTCATATATAGAATCTTAACATGCTTCTGGAACCACAGCAAATCTCAGACTCAAGTCAATCAAAAAAGTTGCAATATTGCTTATTGCAATCCTGGACCGTAGTTAACGTTCTGACCAGGAGCTGCAATGCAATTAGGCACAATTACCAACTTAAACGACATGCAGCAGGGGAAGGTAGAAAGAGACAGAGATCAAATATTAAAAGCAAGTTCTCAAGTATGAGATAGGCTACGCAAAAATCATATGGGAGTGAACAATTCTGTAATGGCACAGACAGCTGAGGAGGCCCTTTCATCCAAAAATGATATGTGATATGTGAGGTTTTTTTCATTTAATTAACACTGTGGAAATGAAAATGGGGATTCATTTTTATCTGAACATAGGAATAAGAGTAGATTAGCATGTAATGAAGCCAAAAACTTGACTAAGATTACTAGAAGTATGCCAAAGGGGCCATTCCCATTCCCACCCCCCACCCCCATGTTGTCAGTGCTTGCTTTCATTTTTTGCTCTGGCAAAGATGCCTAACTTATCTCTGAGTGCAGCGTGAAACTAACAACAACTGAACAGCCCACATTTTAATAAACTACCACCCACACTTACCTTGTCCATCTCCACATACTTTCTCTGTGTTAATTTGCTTTCAACAGCAACTTTTTCCAGTTGTTTTTTACTTCATCTGTAGTGCAAATTTAAAGAGTCTTCCTCCATGCAAAATTTGCTCGTGTTTAATTATTTCTTACCTGAATAAGAGTGCTGTGTCCCCTCACTAGATATTGCTGATGTTCCTCCAATTGCTGTAATACCTTGCTTTTTGTTTATTGATTTTCGGAAAGATTTGCTAACATCTTTACTTTTCAATTCCTGAATTATCTGGAATAAGAAAAACAGAGAGAATTTTGTGATTGAGCATACCTTGAAATAACTAAGTGTTAACTCATGTAAGTACTCTATACTCAGTAATTAACCTGACTGCCTTTCTTTGGGATTTACATTGACTTCTGTTCTGAAAAAAAATTACTGCACTGGTAAAACTAGTTTAAATCCCCTCATGAAATGTGCATACTGGATATCTAAGATATTATTTCTCAGTGAGTACCTCAAGTGCTACCTTTATTAAGCCATGCTAACTAAGAAAGTAGATATGCAACAATCTACACAATTTTTTCACAGATATTTTGGTAAACTGAAGAAAACACTAAAGATATACACATTTCAATGACAATAGCATATTTCTTCCACTTACTTCATCATATGCTTTACAGTAAAATGTTACTACGTGACAGTTACACGTGCCCTTAAACAAGCTGACACCATTTTCCACCTGCCTGCAATGTAAACCACATTGTATATATCGATATGTCCTAAGTTTGCCCAAATACTGTAGAGGTCTCAAAACTGACAACAAAGTATAAGTAACAGATACAGGTCAATACCTGAATGCAAATATTTGCATCTCACCTATGAACTACCGCAAATTAGAATCTTAAAAGAAAGATCAATAACTAGTTCAACAAGCAACCTGCTGCAGTTAGCAGCAGAACTCTAAATTCAAAGCAAAACCTAATCATTCCCAAACACACACACACAAACCAACAGTCTGAGGAGTTTTTGTTTCTCTTAAATAAAGCACACTAGCCAGTGATCCATATTAAAAAAAGTCTAAACTGTTCAAATTTGTTCACTAAAAGTGAAAACTGTACCTCAATCCCAGTAAAAAATAGCCTTTAGTATAGAGATTAAGCATAGTAACAAAAGCATTAGTTTATCACTAAGAGAATTCAGAGGCTAGTATCTAATTATCTACTCTTTTGTCCAGGCAAGGGCTGACCCAACAGTTCCTAAAATAGGTAGTCCATCCCCTCATCTTTGAGGAAATAGAAAGTAGAACTGATTGGAACTACTGTGCTCTCACATGCTGCCCAAATGAGATCTACTAAATTAAATGGGAGAGTGAAATACAAAGACTGGAAAATAATTACATAGGATATTGTAAATTGTCACAGAAAACTTTCCCATTCTCAAAATATTAGTTATTTGTATCAAAATAGTACTTAGTTGTACCACTTAATTCAGTTTTCTATCCTAGTTCTCAACAGATAGCAGACAGTAGAGAAACATCCAAAGGGAATGTCTTACAGAGACAAATTCCTCAAAGTTGATTCTCCCGTCCTTGTTGCTATCTGTCACTGCAATGATTTTTTCTACAATCTCCCGGACTTTGTAACCAGGCAAGGGCAGACTTGCTTCTTTAAACAGGTCTTGAAGCTCATAATCACTGACATATCCGCTGTTGTCAATATCTGTAAAATGAAAGCACAAGTTGTTTTTATACTTATGTAAAGAACCAAGTATAGTAACTGTTGAGAATAAAGCGTGAGAAATACAGTTCTAGGAGACGAGTATTTCTTCTGACATAGATAAGTAAGCATGAAAGAATACTTACAGATTAGAGGCACAACTGGCTAGGAGTTGTGCCATCTTGTTATGTATTTTCTCAGGAACTATTTTATAATCCCAAAGCACAGCTATAACAAGATGGTATATTTGTAAATAGCGAAATTTAAGCTTTTTTTAAGACTCCCAAGAAAATTCTCTATAAACCTTCAAGTGAAAGGGAGATCAATTATTATATTCCTACTGTTGATATTATACCATCTGCAATCAGTAAACTCAAATCTGATGCAAGTTGTTATTAGAAGAGCACACTTACACAAGAAAAACTACTTACACAAGACCTCTACCTCACCCTGCATATTGTTTCTTATCCTAGTATCTGATAGACATTTTCTGTTCTTCAAAACTTTTGATGTGGTTAGGCTTACCTGTGAAGAATAAATCTGGGATGATCTGCGTCTGTTTATTAAAGGTGACCTTCCTTAATCTATTAACTAGCTCTGTTGGGAACAATTTGTACTGTCACCTTCACTTATATTTGGCTCCCGAGACCACATGTCAGGAATGTTCATGTACAGCAAAGTATCAGAATGCTTTTTTCAACAAGAGGTATGGTATAGCTCCACAATTGTGGAAAGAAATGAATGGCTGTATCACATTAAAATAAATTAAGAAAAATTCAGTATAATTTGTGTTACTCAATAATGCAGCAGCACAGAAGTCGTAAAAATACCCTTTGTACTTCTACCTTAGGCCAATCTGTGTGCAGAAAGCTGCCTTGAATTCTTGTCTTAGTATAATAAAGCACCATTTTACAAACCTATAACATGTTTTTATCCAATGTAATCCATAAATGAATCAAACGCATTAACTGTTCCTGATTTTTTTTATATCTATGCATATTTCCATATATATGTATACACATATTTATACAAGCAGAATTTGAGAATGCCCATTAAAATAACCTTACCTGTACCTGTAGTGCAATGTCTATGCAATGGAGAGAAGTACTTTTAAAAGCAGAAAAGCTATAGTCCATACACAGTAGAGATGAAGCTCAAATACAAGAAATCATACCCAGCATAACTAGTGCTGGATATAATGCCCACCATTTTATATATTTAATGCTAGTATTTTCCATGTTTGACAACAATTTTCAGTCTCTTTCATGATCATATTAAAGCTATTGAAAAGTATGAATTAATAGTACTTTCCCAATTCTACAAATGATGCATCCAAGATCAGTAATTTAAGAGAATGTCACAAGTAACGCAATGAGTCAGAAACAGAAGCAAAATGATGTGGCCACTTTTCTGACTTGTCAAGGTGCTTCCACTTCTGGTTTTTTTTCGTTTACTAGTTAAAAGACCTCCCTTCATATTGTCTCTAGTATCAGAACTCACCCAATAATACCAGAGTAGATGAATATGCATCACATTACAGAAGGGCAAGCAGAGAAACATGCTTTCATCTCTAGCCACAGTTGATTGCTATACAGTAATTTCCCTGTAATCCATACTACACTATGTAGCTTCTGTACAACTTCCTAAGAATGCCACATTTCACTGCTGATGAAAGGCTTAAAACATCCGTTAAAAAATATCTCTTTTTGTGTTTTCGATACTACCAACAATTCACAAATCACTACACAGGCAAACTTTATGTCTGCATAGGTATTAATCCATCCACTGTCTGGCTTGCAGACATGTAACAACACACGTAATAACAGGGATGGTCTAAAAAGCAGAGGACACGCTCACGAGCTCACTCAGATTTACCAGCTATTTTATTTCTCTAGGTTCATCTTTCACAGAGGGTAAGTTTCCATGATGACAAGCAGAGAGTTAAATACATGCCTTTTCTCTCAGCAATTTATCCATAAAGACATTAGAAATGTAAAAATGAAAAAAGAAAAAAGCTAAATGATGCTTAATTTTTATATTTTACAGAAAGCGTAATACAGTAAGGAAGAAAATGCTTTTCAGTGAATAGGAGCAGTACAGACAATTCTTAGAGCAGAAACATGAAAACATGCAGGAAGGAAAGGGAGAAAAAGAATGAATGCACATGGTGAAAACCAAACAAATAGAAAAGCTGTCAGACAATACCAGTGAGTATCTACCTATCCTAACACCTCCCAGTAGATTGATACATGTATACAGTGCTCTTTTCTTTCGTCTGTCTTTCCAGCTCCTGCAGGCTATAGACTTCTTGAGCTACGGACTACGTCAAGATGATTGTTTAATAGCAACTCATGAATTACCTTTCATGGATGTATCTTATTCCATTAGCATTTCTACTCTTTTTTGGTTTCAACAACATCCTGAGTCAATGGGTTCATGGTTTTATTATTTGTGATGAAGAAAAGTTACTTCTTTTTGTTTTAAGCTTTCTGACTCTCTACTGCGCATCACATGATACCTGTATTGACAGAAACTGAATAATTCCCTCTTCACCTTTTCCATACTACTCATGGTCTTACAGATCTGTAACATACAGCTTCCCAATAGTCTCTTTACCAAGCTGGAGACTCCTATATTTAAGACTTCTTGCCTAAAGCGAACCTGTTCCGCATTATGAATGATTACAAATGTTTGTTTGATTTGCTGAGCTGCACAGTTACACATCACCCCCACAGAACTGCAGCAAACAAGCAATAAAGCAGACGTGAACTTTAACATTCACAACGGGATTGCAATCTGGAAATAATTTCAGGGTATATAATTTCTATATAATTTCTCACTCTTTCTGTTTACTCTCTGATTAATCTACAAACATCCTGTCAAGCACACAAAATTGTACAGTTATTTATTAACATCTGCTAGCTACAAAAGCAAGATCAAAAAATCTCCAAGTTTAGCTTACTTAAAATGTAAAATCCAACCAACGAAAACAGAAATTACTAGTTCACCAAAGCATGCAAGTAAAGCAAAAACAAAGTGTCACTAATCTAATGAAAATATACTTGACAAGTGAAGTTTAATCAAACATTTTCTTCAGATTTAAGGAGTTCAAAAAACTGAATTTTGAGACCTATCACACTGCATATACAATGGCACAAACAATGCAACTGCCCAGCAAGAAAATGTATCTGTTTTCATTGCTGAAGTTGAAAGAAATTAATAAACAAACATAGTTTCAGTGAAAATAAGGGGGTTTATGTGAACACTCTTACTTTCTTAGATATTACTGGCAACATAGAAGGAAAACATGGCCCTGTCAAAACAAAGTGATCCATAAAGATTTCTTCCACAAATCCTACATGGCTTTGCAATGTTAATGGCATCCTTATTATTTTCTTATTTAAAACATACCTATTTTACTGAATGCTTCTCTTAGTTCTTCAAGTTCTTCACGAGAGATAGTAGTTATGTTGTTTTCCATCTTTGGACAGCAAGAAGTGGTGTCCTCAATTGCTTATACCTAATAATAATAAACAGGAAATATATAAGCCTTTAATTCCAAGCACATGCTAACACAAGTTACTGATCTTTTCAATACAAGGTACCAGATCTGAATGACATTTCCAGGCCTAGCACATTTAAAACACTACAAACACACTTTAAAGTACATCAAACACCTAGCAATTCTTTTCACTGTAACAGTGACTGAGAATTCACAATAGCAGCACCTGTTTTCATGCACTTGATGTCTTCACTTGCATAGAATAAGCACTGACCAACAATCTACCTCCATTGCTTGAGTGGTTTTCCAACATTAAAATCATTGCCTTACATTTCAACCAACAATTTTTAGAAAAATTAATTTCTAAGTGCAATGCAGTATCATTGCCAATTAGCGTTGAGTGCTAGGATCTAGTCCTGCAAAGCACTGAGCACTCCAGTATTTGAACAGTAGTAAACCTCAGTGGGACACTTTCAAGTACCTGCTTATAATAAGCGGGTGAATGCTGATGAGCCTTTCCACAGCTGCTGCAGAAGTTACCACCTCTTGACCTTTACTCGACCCTTCTGACAAGCCTATTGTCACGTAACACTGTCAAAGAGCCAAAAAAAGGCTTTTACTGAGCACAAAGATTGGAGTCTCAATGTGAATCTACTTTCTCTACCCAACTCCATAAAAAAGCAAAACAAAACAGAAGGCACCTTCAGAAGGGTTGATAAACCCCCATGACAGACCCTCGCCCATTTCCTCTTATTGAAGCTTTACTACAACAGGATAATTCAGACCCTTGTTAGTAAGTGCAAGTTTGTAAAGAAGTTGCGCACAATTGCCTCAATATGCAAGCTTACACTTGTATTTGCCATTTTTCACTGTGCACGTGCCACTGGCGCACACAAGATAAGCCTACGGCAGCACCCATCTGCATGTGCGAAGCTCTGAGCAGCACTTGGCTGTGAAGAGCACAGTGTGCTACAGGAGGTGCTGTGCCTTTACCATAAAGTAAAAGTTTTGTCTTTGCTTTTACTTTATAAGCCAAAAGTGACAAAAATCCACCTTACATTAGTATTTTCATCAAAGTTGACCTGTACTTGTGTACATTTTCCCTTCTGGTTTAGTGTTTTTGCTTGAGAGCAAGAAAAACATACCTGTAATGGCCAGGTTATTATTTGCTCATAATAATTATATTCAGATCTGCTATATGCAGCTACTTGTCCCCCAAAAATCGTGCGTATCAACAGAACTGTACTATTACCCACTGGACGAGACACTGGAAGGGGAAACGGGAAGACCCGAATTCAACAATTGGTTTTACCATGGACCTGCTGGATGCCCGTGGACAAGACTGTACCTTTCTTTCCCACCTTTGTGTGTCCTGACTAACTAGGTTTCCGGTGCAGGGACCGCCCCATAACTAGGTGGCTGCACAATGCCTGTGACAACAGCATCCCTTCTAAGGTCTGCTGTAAGACTGTAATAATGGAATCAGAATTTGATTCAGAATAAAGGAGATTAAACATTATCAATCTGAATTTCTGTTAGAAAATAATTTCTTCCCCATTCTAGCTGTGTCAGTTTTCTTTCAATCCTTCGCAATCTGATAATGAGAAAAAATACAAATGAAGCAACAGCACAGATCACCAGCACATGAGAGAAGAGGCAGCAAGGCACTACATCAGCTGCGGTTTGCTGGGGGATTGTGCCAAGTAGTCAGACATTTCCTGGAGGTTTACTAAGGAGTGCATACAACACCACTGATGTGAGTTATACCTATTCTACTGTGAAAAGAGTTTTAATACAAAATAAATTAGCTGTGGTCAGCCACAAACAGGTGTAACATTGCCCCACTACATTAACCACTGAAGTGTCTCCTGATTTCAGAATTATAAGCAGTGACATCACTGCTGGAGATTATTTCACTGAGAGAGATAGCACACTACTGTATTAGTGATGTCAAAGCCCAACATATTCTGCAACTGGGTAGAATGTTTGTTTGTTACAAACTGGCTCTCCCTGCCTACCTATGAAACGAGACCAAATGAGAAGTACAGCACAACCTGTTTGTTTGCATGGTATTCACAGGTTGCCCACCTTTGCTTGGAGAGCGAAGAGCACAGGGTCAGCCTTTCTCTCTTCTGTAGCTACCTCCAGTTACACAGAAAGTGGGGATTCCCACTGTATCGAGTGCCCAAGGCTGTCAATATTCTAATGTCCTCATATTTACACAGTATCTTTCAGGAGAAAAAGGAGACGTGATACAACTTGACCAAAAAAAATGCAAAACAAAGGAAAAACCCATCTGGATTAAAAATTTACTTACAAATATTAAATTATTAAGACACATAGTTATTCAACATATTTGGATACTATGTTGGAAAGCATGTCACTGGATGGAGACTCAGCTAGCCAGAAATTAGAACTTGACCAGGATATTGGGATTGATAATTTTACTCAAACCTACCAATCCAAAGCTATATATTATGGCATTCCTCCTCCTATTCTTTTACCTTCTGTTGAACCTGGAATGATAAAGTTTTCATCATTTATATTCATATTATATATAAGTAAGAGTTATTAAATGAAAAACTCAGCTTTTTAGAGATCTTTCTTAACTGTAACTATGCACACGTTTAGATTGCTGGACAGTTTTCAATAGGATGGTTTCGATTCCCACAACAGCATTTTCATAAACGCAAAGTAAGTTTTTACCTTTGATTTTCTAATACAATAGGCAATGGGACAATCTTTTTGCTACTGTTTTTACTGCTGATAAGACAACTCTGTATGGGAGAGAATAAACTATACTATACTATGAAGTACTCACTAAGAATTCTTGATCTGTTTGTAATGAAAAAAATACTCTGCAGGAAATGCTGGAAAGGTCTCTAGAGCTAAAAAAGAAATGCTGAACGAAGTATCCTACATGTAGCTAAACCTGTACGCATAAAGACACGAGCAATGCTCATGAGCTAGCAATGAGTAGCCCCCAACCTTTTTCAAAATATTATTTTTAAATAAACAAAGCAACTATTTGTTCAAAATACTACAAAATACCGTGACTTTGTTTAAAAGAACATTTTTTACACTTTATATTTGTCTCGTTTGTTTGTTATTGTTTTTTTTAATCTTTGGGGTTTATGTTTTGAAGTTTGTGCTTATCTGAAACCATCAGAGTTAGACATTTCCTTCAACAAGAAAATTACTTGGAAGTTAAGATTCTCAGGTAACAAACTTCAACTGGGGGTCAGGGTTCTAAGGAAAACAAATAACATGAGATGTGGTGAAACCTTCTAAGATAGCAACTGTATTGCCAAGTCATTCAAGAAAATACAAGAAAATTTTTGTCACAACAGAATGTGACTATTGTCTTAAAGTACGAAAGTAAAAATATTTATTTGGGCCCTATCTGCAGCATAAGCATTTATTTATCTATACTTACACTGCTGTGTAAGATAGAGAAAAAACAAGTTATGTGTACATGTAACTGATTCTCATCTCAGCAAACGTTTCTGCTTCTTTTAAGGCAGTAGTTTACTTTTCTTCCATGATGCTACTTAAAGTTTCCACAGTAATTTAGTTTTCTTCCATGATGTTCTATAAAAGGAGTTCTTAAACAATAGTGGGTTATTTTAATGAGATCCTGTCTACTTTGTTCAGGTTAGTATTTTCTCTGTCTTCACTGGGACTGTTCCTGTGGGTCACACAGGATATGGCCTTGAGGGTGGGTGGTGAGTTAAGTCTTTTTCCTTCATGTCACTCGATCTTATTTAAGTACTAAAATCCTACTCATCCATTTTGCTAAGCTTACTAGCAGCATGTACCAGTCTTCACACTCAAAAGAAAAAAAAATTTAAAATATATATACAGAAAAACTGACTTTACACACAGGTACTTCTGGAAGTGCAAGTACCTTGATTGGAAACCTGATGTGGCAATTAAAAATAAAGAAATCAAACTATGGAAAAAGATGGGGAAAAAAATTAAACACTTAAATGCAAATTACTAAGGAAATTTAAAGGACTCTGAAGCTGCAAAAAGGCAGAAGACAGTCCTCTGAAATACAGAAACAGCATGTTAAAGCATAAGTGAAATATTTAGCCACGCAGGTGCAAAAGACAACACCACTTCTGTCACACTGTTAATGTTTTTAACTATTTACCATTACCATGAGTCAGATTTTATCAAAAACAATTTCTGCAAAGTTGCAATGCAATTAGTTTCACTCCTCCCCTTTTATGATTCATAATTTAGATTTTCCATCATATTCTACTTCAGAAAAAAGCAATCTTTGATTTCCAAAGACGCTGATTATTTCAGTAACACAGCAGAAACATCTGCTCTTGAATGAAGCAGACAAATAAAGCTAATACCTCGGCTCTAAAGAGACAGTCTTAAATACCCTATTATATAATTACAGGGTAAATTAGCTGGTCAATTAAATGGCAGAAGTGCTGGCAATCATGGTTCTGGCATTCAGGAGAGATCTAGTTTGAGCAAGCAGAGGCAACACCTAAACTAGTCAGACATTTCAGACAATTTCAATATAGAAACAGAGACCTATCGCAGCTAATAAACACCTTGCACATGCAGGTTTATCACCACTCAAGATGACTCAGTCCACAGGCAATTCTGACAAGATTTAACATTAAGCCTCCAAAGGTACATGTCTATTGGAACTATGACTACCTGCTGAAAGATATATTTGATTACATAGAACACATTTCTCTATACTCTGGTAGTGTTCATATGACACATTTTCTGTAGTCTATGTTTACATTAAACCATCTCCTGCTGCCCCAGGACAGGGTAGGTAAAAACACTGGTTTTATGCTGAGAAAGTGCCCTTGATCCTCTTTTTAAATTCTCGCCAGTATGTCTAACATGAACTGACAATATTCATCTATCCCTAGCCTACCTTCTATACCTGGAAGGCTTTTTGTATCTAAAGACAATTCACTGGAGTCTCCTGGAAACGTTCCACA